GTCTGAGAAACCTAGCAAGTTTTCGAAAGACATGTAAAGTCCGCCAACCCGCACTTGGCCAGCGTGGTGGACTATGGCCTGATTAATATACAATAAATTTTAAACAAATCTAGATTTCCGTGCTAACCCGAAGCTTTTCGCAATGAATTATTCCGTTTAAAACGGGGATCATTTAATAAGTTAATAGTTGCTAAATTATATAGGCAAAAGCAATATGCCAAAGTAGTATCAACTTTTTTATTTCTTTAATAGCACTTGGAATGTACCACGTAGAGATGTACCGTGACAAGTCGTGGAACCCCTATTAGTTATGAACGGAAACTCACAGCTATTACTAAGGTCGGTAAAACTGTACTAGGTGTATGTATACGGCTGCTCTTATTCGTTAGACCTAGATTTCCAGCGTGGAGTGGTATACAGAAGAATACTTCAATATGCATATTTAAAATATCTCTATATAATTTTATCAGTAACTGATTTAAAAAAAAAATTACGAGATTTATTGCATAAAAATTATACTGACATTTATTTTTAAACTGTATCTATTACTCTGTCTATATATTATATACATATAAAAATCTATTGCCGTTCGTTAGTGTAGCTAAAACTCAAAAACAGCTGAACCGATTTGAATATTTTTTTTTGTTTTGATGGGGGTGTGACAGAGGTGGTTTAAGTGCAAAATAAATTAGGGAAAATCTAAAAAAACAGCTGGCAAATCGAAAAGTTCAGAACTGTTTATTTTGTACGTATATATATATAATACTAGCGGCTCACCCTCGCTTCGCTCGGGTTCACCTCTAGAAAAGCACAAACAGATCTATCCCACGGGAACCGTTCATTTTTCCGGGATAAAAATAAGTAACCTGTTGTTTGACCTGCAATATAAGGTATCAGCATGCCAAATTTTACTAAATTAGGTGCATAAGTTGTTGTGTACTGAGCTATATAAGTTACTATAATTTTTTAACTATCCCACGGGAACTCTTTAATTTTCCGGAATGAAAAGTATCAAATTTCATTTAAATAGGTTTAATAGTATCGGAGATTAGCCCGTACAAACAGACAAACAGACAGAGAAACAAAAAAATTGAAAAGAATCTGGATTTGTTCTATTTTCTTACATCCCGTAAGAAGAGAACTGACTCGTTTTTTAGCAATTTTTTCTACTATCTATGTACAGACATTCGACCTCTACAGTTTTATTATTCGTATATGTACCTATATTCAGATAGAATAAATAACGTATAATGAAACAGAAATATATAATAATGAAAATAGTTATAGCGAGTCTACCTTAGGAGATAGACATATACTATGGTATGTAGAACTTTTCTATAGACCTTTTTAAGACTTACAATTTTCTTGCACAATGTTTTGATCTATCTCTTAAGGTTGAGCCAACGTTAGCCATATAAATTTCTAAGGACAATTCGATAGAACCAGTTATTGTATTTTCCCGTGGGAATGAATAATTTGCCTGTCGTAAAAAGTATTCTAAATGTTGACCCGAGCACTAAGTTTTATCACTATACAAAATGAAGTTAAAATCGGTTGCGTACTTTTTGCGTGAAACGCGCACATCGATTTGACTAAGTTTTATTATAGGTATAGATAAGAATAAATATTTCGAGTGTAACTTAGGAGATAGACATATACTATTCAGAACTTTTCTGTGGGACTTTTCAAGACCTACAATTTTTTAGTATATTCTTTTGATGTATGTCTTAAGGCTTAGCCAGAGGAAGGTTTCTAGGGAGGACTCGATAAAACCAGTTATTATATTTTCCCGTGGGAAAGAAAGATTTTCTTTAAGTAAAAGGTATCTAGGCAGTGGTATCCCAGTGGTAACGCGCTCGCTTGGGAAACCGAGTGAAGCAAGTTCAAATCCCGGGTCTAGCACCTCTGATATTGGCCAGCGTGGTGGACTATATATATAGTCTGATCCACCTCGTACTGAAGGGAGGCCCGTGCGTGTGTTAAAAAGGGCTGAATACAACATACATACATACAAAAGGTATCCTAAATGTTGACTCGAGTAATAAGTTATCACTTCACCAAATTTCGTTGAAATTGGTACATTACTTTTCGCGTGAGACGCGCACACAAAAACAGACAAAAAGACATACAGGCAAACAGACAAACATACAATTTTTTAATAACTATTGTTTTGGGGTCTATGTTTGTACATAATACGTAACAAATAAACAAAAACATCTATCCCACGGGAAAAGTACGTTTTTCCGGGATAAAAAGTTACCTATTTGTTATTCTGATGTATGAACTATATTATTGTAAAGTTTCATCAAAATCCAATCAGTGGTTTTTGTGTACTAAGCTGTATTAGTTACTATAGTTGTTTGACTATCCCACGGAAACTCTTTAATTTTCCGGGATGAAAATTAGCTGATTTGTTTTTGTCATGTATGAACTATATTATTATAGAGATTCATTAAAATCCAATCAGTAGTTTTTGTGTACTAAGCTGTATAAGTTGTTATAGTTTTTTAACTATCCCACGGGAACCCTTTAATTTTCCAGGATGAAAAGTATCTAACATGTTGCCCGGGGATATAAGGTACCATCATGCAAAATTTCATTTAAATAGGTTCAATAGATCCGGAGATTAGCCCGTACAAAGAGAAAAACAGATAAACAGCTCGCTCGGGTTCGTCCATACATACGAATATGTTGTATTATCTCTTTAACCATTTGTCCAAATTATATGCAGTAAAAGGGAAAAGTCTTTTATTTTAAGCATTTTAGACGATAAATTTACTTATTTTGATAAGAATTCATAATTGTTGATAATATGACCAATAAACATGAGCTACCGATTTAAATGATTTTTTTAATATAAAAAACTACTTTTTGTGACTTAAATATAAAAGTTAGACATATGCTGTCGCTGACTTTTTTGTAGGCATTTTTAAGCTCTACAACTTTTCTCTAGAACATAATCATATATCTCTCATCGTTAAGGCAGCGTTCGTAAGAAACGTTTTCGTTCGACCGTTTTTACTCCGACTTACTTTGCAAATCCGACTACCACGAAAAAGCCTTTTCATTTTTCGGGTCAATATATAGCCTATGACACTCAAAAAGAACGTGGCTTTCTATTGGTAAAAGAATTTTGAAAATCGGTTCAGTAGATCCAGAGATTACCCCCTACAACGTCACAAACTCACAAACTCACAAACTCACAAGATCACAAACTTTACCTCTTTATAATATTAGTATAGATATAGTCTATCTATTCCATACTAATCGTAAAACGTACCTAGGGACGAACCCGAGCGAAGCGAGGGTGAGTCGCTAGTGTATACATATAATAAAATTGTAACTAAGTCGAATCTGTACATTAAATATTTTTAAAATTAGAATTTTTGTCTGTCTGTCTGTTACCGCATCACGAGAAAACCACTGGACAGATTTTGATAAAATTTGGTATGATGATAGCTAGTTATCCGGGTCAACATATAGAATACTTTTTACCGCGGGAAAATATCTTATTTCTGAGAAAAAATACAAAAACTGCATTTTAAGAGTATACTAATATGTAAAACCTAAGAATTTGGTTTTTGGTCACCTGAACGCGGGCGGAGCCGCGGGCATGGCTAGTCATAAATAAAATTAAGGTTTACGTAAAAGATCATGTGACTGACGGGCCTCTTAGAAGACGCGAGTTCGATTTCCCGGCGTTAGTGATCAATTTGTATTAATTTTACAGATTTTTGTCTAAGTTTACGATTTTATAATGCCACACGCACAGTTCCAATACTGTCGAATGACGGAGAACGGAGGAGGAGTCACTATACTTTTTCTATCCCGAAAAAAGTGAAGACAGGATAACGATCTTTTCATTACACCCAGAGGATTAAAAATAACAAATCTCATTTAAGGTCTCGATATACTAAAAGATAGTAACAGCTAAAGAAAGTGTTAACAGGCAACAAAGTATTGTTGAGATAGTCTGAGGAACAATTCATTCCCTTTTATGCTACATTTCTGTAAACCGCGCGTAGTAAACTACAAAGTGGATAGTGATCTGTTGTGGCCTGCGGTGAATGCAAACAGTAATATACGTGTTTACATTCGACTAGACTGTGTTCATCTATACATATAATAAAATTGTAACTAAGCCGAATCTGTACATTAAATATTTTTTGGAAAATGTTATTGAAATAAACATTATTATAGATACAGGGGCCAAATCTATAGTTTTTAGAATTTTTGTCTGTCTGTCTGTCTGTTACGGCATCACGGAAAAACCACTGGAGGGATTTTGATGAAATTTGGTATGGTGATAGCTGGTTATCCGGGTCAACATACTTTTTACCACTTGAAAATATTTCATTTCTGAGAAAAAATAAAAAAAGTGCAATGTAAGAATATACTGATATGTAAAACCTAAGAATTTGGTTTTTGGTCATCTAAACGCGGGCGAGCCGCGGGCAATGCTAGTCTACCAATAAATAGCAGATGGCTCTTACAGCAATGCAATAACCCGCTGGTTTATAAGCAAATATGTAAATTGCATATTTAATATTTATTTTACAGCTATATATCATTCATATTGTATTCAGGCCTTCTTAACGTCCCAATGCTGGGCACGGGATTAGGCCATAGTTGTGGTTGGCGGACTGCACATGTTTTTTAAAAACTTGCTAGGTTCCGTCAGACATGTGGGTTTGCTCACGATGTTTTCCTTCACTTAACAAATTCCAATCATGTTGGAAATGATTCGCACACATGAAAATATTAGAGATGCAAAACCCGGGATTTGAACCCGCTTCACTCGGCTTTCCAAGCAACTGTGTTACCACTGGACTAGCACTGTTTTTTATTAATATCTATTAATTGCGCGAAAATATGAACTGAGTAGTTCATATTAAAACACCAACGCCTTATTGCTCTTGCTCTAAGTATAAGTTTCAAGACCGTCAAATTAACTTATCCTGTTAACTGCTTTACAAAGTAGTAGCACAAGTTCAACTCACCCGACGGATGCATATTCTCGTGACACACTGGGCAGTTGACCGGTACTCGGGCTTCGAATATCTCGATGGCCAGGTACTGTCTGAGGCAGGGCTCGCAGCATCTGTGCGAGCACCACGCGAGGCGCATCATACTCGACGCGTTGAATGTGGACAGGCATAGCGGACAGTCGAGAACTTCGCCCTGTAACAATACATACTTGGCGTTAGCACATGAGATAGTATCTATAATATTTACAGAGACATAAGAGTGATTTGACACATCATTTTCCATAAAACATTATAAATTCTAGCCATACTTCATTTCAGATAACACTTAATTTTGCTAAAGTATGATATAATATACATAAAGTGACTTATTTCAGACGTTCATATTATTGGGAGCATTCGCGGCATTTGGTTTTATTCCAATGAATATATTGTCAGTTAGAAAACAAACCATTCGACAGCGAAATGGACATCACAATTAGTGTAACATACTGCTATAAATGAAGTTAAAGTTCATTCTAAAGTAACTTAATTCTTCTTTGGTTGATACAAAATTCCTAAAAAACATAATATTTACTCGTATATTGTATAAGCAAAAAAAATCTAAGATGAATATTTTTACTGTTATTAATTGTGATTTTATATGTATACAGAACTACATAAAAATACCAATTAAAGTTGGGAATACACTATAATAAAAACACAATATCGAATCTTCCGTCATTTTCCTCTATTATACATATGGGTATAATATGGGTTAGTGCTATCGATTTATTAGATTGTAGGTGATAATTTTAATAGTAGGTACTTACATTGTAAAGTGTTATATCCTACTACATGAATCGGATTTATCGATTTATGATGACATCCTACAATTCTTTCCCTATTAATAGAAACACATGATGAATATTTAACATAAAGCTTAATTATCATTGTTACCTTTTTTTCACAGATTAGAGTGTTACCTAACCTTAAACTTTACCTGAGTTGGAATTTTTCATCCAATTTCAACACTTCGAGTAACATCTCATTAATAATATTCTCTTTCTTTTACTCACAACACTTAACTGAGACTTACGAGACTGTAAACAGTAACTGTTTAATTTTAAATATAGTAGCTAACATTTCGGATTTTTTTGGCGGATTTATTTTGATTTTTGGTTCTTGACGTTTCGAATGGTTTACAGCAATCATTTTACAGCAAGCATTAATGATTTAATAATTGTACTAAAACCAAGTATCCCTTACTGAGATTTATCAAAACTTGGCATACCTAATTATTTATTATTGAGTTACATTGTAACAATGATCTTTCTCCAAAGGTTATAAGAATCAGATACGTCATTGAATTCTATATATATATATATATATATATATATATATATATATATATATATATTATATATATATATATTTATTAATCATTTACAAACAATGCCGGTATGAAGTAAAATTTTAATATGAAATTAATAATAAAGTAGTTAACCTTCACATTGAACTCATTAGATAAATAGTTTTAATTAATTTTAGAGGTATAGGCTATTAATTTATTTAGTTTTGTTTTATTTAATAAATGTCGATTAAATCTATACTAATATTATAAAGAAGTGAAGTTTGCGAGTTTGTGACGTTGTAGGGGGGTATCTCTGGACTTTTTATCCCGGAAAATATCCCTTAAGGGGGTGAAAATGGGGATGAAAGTTTGTATTGGGAATCAAGCTAGGGAGGAACTCGAGCGAAGCGATGCTGAGTCGCTAGTTAATAAATAAATAAAAATTAATATAGGACGTTTACTTCTCAATTTGGAAAATGAAATGGAATCTTATATTATATATAAAACAAAGTCGGGTTTGTTACAACACTTATAACTCGAGAACTGCTGGACCGATTTGTATAATATTTATTTTGTTGGATTTGTCTTCACTCCGACTAGCAGAATAACTATTAAAACATCGGAAAAATTCACGAAAAAAAAAAGGTGAAAAAAAAAACTATTCCATACTAAGCAAATATAAAAGCTTTTATAAAGTTAAAAACCTAAAATGGTCAGAATCCGTTAGAAGTAACTTCCTGTGGCGTAAAAAGTGGGTTAAGCTTTGATTTTATAAACAGTGTATGCCTTTTAGTTATCACGGCATAGCTTATAAGCATTTACGTCAAGCTCGTTATGTGAAAGTCGATTACGCTTCGCTGGACTAGAAACTGGCTAGTAATGAGGGAAGTTCTTCTTAGTCGACTTCTAGCGACTTTTTAGAACTTTATTTATACAACAGATTTCATTCAAACATTTAATAATAGAAAATTTTAGTGCTTTCTGGAAAATTTTAATACTGATCATTTATGCAAACTAAAAAGGGTAAAGTTTGTTGGAAAAGTTAAATCTGTTTGTGTTCCTTTACCTTTGCGAAGACTTTATAACGAAGGTAAAAGTCCTTTTGAACTCTTGTAGAGTTAAAAAAGTTATAAAGAATTTATCTAACTTTGAGTTTCGAGTCGAAACTCTGATCTTTAATTTATTTACAAAATTTCTCGACGAATTAGTTAACTCTGAGTTATAAAATTAATATCTAAAATGAGAAATATTGAAATGATAATTATTTAAAATTTTAAATGAGATCTACTAAAAATGTGCATAGATAAGTTTGAATTTATGTGTCAATATGTATAATTTATCAAATATTTAAAAATACAATGTAGGTTACAAAGATATTAAGTTCTTTATGTGTTTATTACAACATTTGAATACAACTTGTATGACACTAGGACTATAACAAAATTATTAAAATAATAAAATATGTAGAACTCGTTGTGGTTGTTTCGTCTCATTAATGTAATGAGACCATGTCAGTTGGTAATCTGATCCAGGTATCGACAATCATCTAATGTAAGGCACTTTCAATTTAAAATGTTTAACACATCTATAGTGTGATAATTTTTACGAAAAACTAGAAGAACCCGCGGCAACTCCCGCGTTCCATCTACAATAAAAACCTCTTTGGCTTAATATTAAAAAAAATACTAAAAAACCACAATTAAAAAATGGGGTGTGGGGGTAGTAGGGTGAAAAATACTTTACCACCTATTCTCATACATACCAAATATACAAACAAAAAACATTAAAATCGATCGAGCCTTTTCGGAGGAGTGCGTCCACAAACACCGTGACACGAGATAATTATATATCAGATTAACGAAAGCTTACAACAGAAAACTTTTTTATTTAAAGTCGTCAACTATGATTAACTGTTCACAGAACGTGTACTCACAGAGCACACTTTGTACGTGATGAAAAAAAACCATTGTCTACGTAAAAAAGGGTTTCGACATGCATGCGTCAAAAGTTTTATTGGATTAATTTGATACCGTTGACGTGAAATCCAGAGAACAATAGCGGGTTTTAATTTTAAACACATCAGAAACAGCAGGACCAACAAAGTCGTTCAAGCAAATTATAATTATTGATAATAAATGAAAGTTGTAGTAAAATTAAAAAGTAAAAGGCAGTGGTAGCCCAGTGGTAGCACGCTCGCTTGGGAAACCGAGTGAATCGGGTTCAAATCCCGGGTCTCGCACCTCTGATATTTTTATGTACGAATCATTTCTAACTTGATTACCACTTGCCTTACGGTGAAGGAAAACATCGTGAGGAAACCTGCATACATGTGAAGTCTGCCAACCCGCACTTGGCCAGCGTGGTGGACTATGGCCTGATCCCCCTCGTATTGAAGGGAGGTCCGTGCCCAGTAGTGAGACGTTAAAAAGGGCTGAATACTAATAAATGAAAGTATATTTATTGATAATAAACGTAAGTAAAAAAAAAAGTAGAAGATTTACTGACAATTATAAATAAAAAACCTTAACATCAAGGGAAATTTTACAAATCACCTTGTTATTCTTTTTTCCCTTGTACAATTGTTATTATTATACTTTCATAGAAAGAAATAGAGAAGCTAAGCTATTATCCAAATAATGTATTCAATTCATAGCTACCTTGACTATAATTACGAGATAAAACTTTACTCTACTATTGATTTATTCAAAAGATTATAATTTTAATATATTGTATGTAGCGAAGGCATTTTTTTTTAATTTATACGTCACCTTTATAGTTCATACAGTCGTAAAAAAAATTTAAATAATTTATTTTATATTTCAGCCTTGAACTGCTTAGCTTATAAAAAATATTTTGAACGTTTTAGCCGTAAATTTTTAATTCAAAATGTCAGTTAAACCTTGATAAAATAACATCATAAATTGAACTCTTCGCTTGTATTCACATTTAACCCTTTACAAATACTGTAAATGCTAAAACGCCTTATATACTAATTACTAAACATTAACCGATATGCGAAAATCCATATAGGGTATTAATTGTTTAAAATATTTCTTATTAGCGGCTCACCCTCCCTTCGCTCGGGTTCGCCTCTAGGAAAAAAAAACAAACCTATCCCACGGGAACCGTACATTTTTCCGGGATCAAAAGTAGCCTATGTGTTATTCCAGACTATAATCTATCTCTTGCCAAATTTCATCCAGATCTGTTCAGCCATTCTGGCGTGAAAGAGTAACAAACATTCATCCTCACAAACTTTCACATCTTCTTCTATAATATAAAAATGAATCGCTGAATGTGTTGGTAAGCGCAAATCTCGAGAGCAGCTGAACCGATTTCGCTAATTCCTTTTTTAGAATATTCCTTGAAGTACGAGGATGGTTCTTACGGAGAGAAAAATTTTAAAAATTGTCTGAAAAAGTCCTAAAAACAACATTTTTCTATACTCCCATACAAAAGTTTCGTAATAATACTTAAAAGTCAATTTGAACTTTACTACCATACCATAAAGTTTAATTGTTAGTGGAGAGGTTTCGGGGAGGCAAAACAATTGAGTGACGTTAGTATCATATAAATATTAATGTCAATATATTTTGTCAATATTTATACGATGGTAACATTACTCAAAAACAAATTGTCTATGGTAAAATGTAAATTGTCTGTGGTAAAATGTCACTTGAAATGTAACCGTCTCTTTGCTGTGCATCATCATGTATGCATCATAAATAAAAATGAATGTTGGTAAGCGCATAACTCAAGAATGGCTGGACTTTGAAAAAAAAATTATATGGCTAACGCTGGCTAATAACTATTTATATCTATTTAAAATGTACCTAGCGACGAACCCAAGCGAAGCGAGGGTG